TCCCAGGGAATTTGAAGACAGGAGGTGGATAGATGAATTGATTATTCTTACTAGAAAAGTGAGTAATTCTCAAGTTCACTGATTACTAACATAAGCTTTTACTTAACGGTCATAAGTAATGGGCAAGAGCAAAAGATGTCTTTGTAGGTGGTCATTACCTATTTAAATTTCTTGCTTCAGACCAGACTTAAGCAAGGCACCCTGGTGAGGAAGGAGCCCTGGTGGCACGATGGTTAATCACTCAGCTGCAAATCAAAAAGTTAGTGACTTGAACCCATCCAGCTGCTCCATGGGAGAATGACCTGATGGTCTGCTCCAGTAAAGATTGTTGTTGTTGTTGTTGTCAGGTGCCGTTCAGTTGGCTTGGACTCACAGTGACCCTGTGTACAACAGAACGAAACCTGCCTGGTCCTGTGCCAGCCTCATTATCCTTGCTCTACCTGAGCCCATCCTGGCAGTCACTGTGTCAATCCATCTCATCAAGAGCCTTCCCCTTCTTCGTTGACCCTCCACTTTACCAAGCATGATATCCTTCTCCAGGGAACAGTCCCTTTTGACAACATGACCAAAGTAGATGGGATGAAGTCTGGCTATTCGTGCTTCCGATTACAGCCAGGAGAACCCTATGGGGCAGTTCTATTCTGTTACATGAGGCCACTCCATGTCAGAATAGATTCAGTGGCACCCAACAGCAGCACTCCCAGTCCAGTTGAGAGTTTTACAAGAGAAAAGATGGGTGATGAGTGGTAAGAGCAGCAAGGAATTAGGGCGGGGGGTAGGGGAGGAGGTGGGGAGGAGCCAGAATGATACCAAAGAGCCTGTTGTTGTTGTTGTTATGTGCCATCGAGTCGGCCCCGACTCATAGCGACCCCTCCTTGGGTTTCCGAGGCAGTATCACTACGGATAGTAGGATTGCCCAACCTTCCCTCTGAGGAGTGGCTGGTGGGTTTGAACTGCCAGCCTTCTGGTTAGCAGTCAAGTGCTTTAGCCACTATGCTACCAGAGCTCCTAGTGACAGTGAAATCTTGCTGGGCAGTGGCCACTGTCAGCAGGCATGGTGCAGCACACATGGTGGCTACACAGTGAGTATTTGTCAAGCTGCACTTGAAACAAGTCTTGAAAGGGCCTCCCCACCCCCATCCCCATCCTTGATCCATTCCCTCTCCCTGGCCTGACAGTCATGCACAAATATTTTAATAGCAATGCTTTGCATTTAGAGATTAAAGGCCCTATACAAGTGCTGTTAAAAAAAAAAAAAAAATTCAAGCGAGCATTGTTTTGGGATGTAGATTAGACAAGGATCTCAGAAAGGGAGACAGTGGGCAGCCCCTGTGATTAGTCCTGTGATCTTCATGAGAATCTTCCTCCCTGGGCCGCGAAGCTGGGCTCACCGCGCTAACGTTCCGGTCTGGTTGCTGTCTACATCTGCTCCCCTCCGGTTTTGTGAGAAGGCTCTTTCTCACTGTTGACTTGGATTATGCTATCTGGAAGTTTGTTTATCGTATTATTTTCTTTCAAAGTAGCCTGAAAGAATGATTACACAAATTAAAAAAACTGTTTTGAAATCTGTATCTACAGTGACATGGCTATACAGAGATGGAAAACTAAATATATGGGCACATCAGGATCACTGGACATAGCTGCACCTGTATGAGATAAGTTACATATGTTTAAATGCTAGAAACACATAAAAAATGTCTTCTCTTCCATACACTTAATATTGTTAGCTAAACAATATAATTCTTCCTAATCAAATAACCACTGAAATAACTGATTCATTTTGCACCCAACAGCTGGGTTGTAGCTTGTGTTCCCAGCCAAAGCTGAATACAAACACAATAGGAAAGGCAGAAACAGCTGCAAACTCTTGGGAGAAAAAATTTGTAAAGTAACTTTGCCTTTAGGCATCAGTGTAGGAAGGAAGTAAAATCATTTTTCTGTTCCTTTTCATGTAGGGCAGCTGTCTTTGGAAAAAAAAAAAAAAAAGAAGTCCATTCTATTTTGTAACAGAAACTCCACAGTATTTACTAGAACATGAGTTGTAGGAACTAAGGGCTGGCCACAGATTTAGCACTTTAGCGCAGTCAAAACATTTACAGAACTAGGTAGGTCGTAACTACTCTGATGGATTAAGCGGGGAAGGTCCCATTTCTTCCCTCCACTCCTGACTCCTCCCCCACCAATTTCGCTGTAAACAAACCAGATTTCAGTGATGTTGATTCTGTTTGATCCTTCAAATGCTTTAGGCTTGTTTATATAAAGTGGAACTGAATATAATTCTTTGAGGCAAGTGTCAAAGAAATAGATCCTCTGTGGGTTCCAGCAGCCCTCCGTCCCTATGTCTCAGCCATTATTATTATTATGGGTATGTGTTTTATTTCCCCTACTAAAATTTTAGTGTCTTTAAGGCAGATTCTACATCATTTTTTCCTTTGCTCCCCCCACTTGTCTAGGACAGCAAAGTTGGCAGGGTTCCAATGCAGATTTGAGAAATTAAGAGCCACCTGGTTTTATAAAATCAGTCACATAGGTGGCTTTCATAAAATAAGTGTCTACTTGTTTTTACTTTTAAGATTTCGGATGCACAGGTAATGGCAAAATATAGGTTCTGTTAAAAGGGGGGGGGCTATGAGACAAGACTGAAACAGTCACTACAGCGTTTCTGTTCCGGTGAGACCCATGCATATGATGTATCACTTAAGTGCTGAAATTTGTCAAACAGGCGGATTTACTCAGTTATTAGGAACTGTTTTGAAATGGGGTTTTATTATAACTTTAGAGTCTGGAACTAGGCCAGGAATCTTTGAATGTAAAAAAAGTCAGACCTAAAGTGCCTGTAGAAAGCTTATTAATTTGAAACTGCGTTGGTGAGGTAATAGACAATTTAGAAAGAAAGAAAAGCGGAAATGTGGATAAGGGGAAACAAACCAACAAAATGAGCACGTTAGGAATCAAGGGATGCCAGCTTCATACATCTTCCCTCAATTTCTTTTGAATTCTATAGAATATCATCAGTGTAAATTGAAAACGCAGAGAAACACAATACCATACATTTTACAAGGATAATTAGATAGTCATGACCATATTTCAAACTCACTAGAGTGTCTATTTATTTGGAGAGGGAAATGGACATCTCTCTCAGATTCTGAGGCTTTCAGGACATGGTCAACATGGCTGAGTGCCTAAATGAGGATGCTGGGATGGAAGAGAGGCAGGGAGAGGAGGAAAAGTGTAGCTCACTGTGAAGCAATGGGACTTAGGGAAACTAGTGGAGAAATATTCAGGTAGCAGGATCTATAAGGTTAGTTGTGAGCTGAAAACAAAACAAACGAACAAAAATCAAACTCATTACTGTCGAGTTGATCCCTGTAAGACAGAGTAGAGGGAGGATCTCCCTGCCATCAAGAAGGAAGAGCTAGAGGTAAAGTGGAGCACGTCCTTGGACCCAAGATCTCTGCACCGGACTTCCTTGGCAGAGAGGCCCAGCAGAGAGAGAGAGTGGTGGGCTTCCCGGCCCACAGGGTGAGAAGGCTGAGTGCCTTTGTGCAGGAGGCTTGCTGGTGGAGTGGGCTGGACCTAGGTGTACCTATTGACAGAGCTAAAAGAGCTTCGTAACACTTGTCTGAGCAGGACAGAGGCCAGGCCAAGAGGCCAATGGCCAGGGAGGCGTGTCTGAGGGCATAGCAGAGGGGAGACTGTCCTGATCGAAGAATTGCATCCTGAGCACATTACTGAACAAGAATTGCAGCCTGTTACTTCCCTAAATAAATCCCATGATCGTGTGTGTGTGGGGTGGAAGAGTAGAACTATGGGGCACAGAGGGTGCCCAAGGCTGTAAATCTTTATGGAAGCAAACTGCCCGTCTTTCTCCCGCAGAGCAGCTGAGGGGTGGGTTCAAATTGCTGACTTTTCAGTTAGTAGCCGAGCACTTAACTGTGTCTTATGACTTTGAAAGAATCCCACCATGCCCACCAATACAAGAAAACATAATTTACAATTTTAAAACACGGCAGTGAGCTATGCAGACTCTCATAAAGACAGTAGTAATAAAAATAATGTTTTGTAAAAGCACACAGATATAGGATACACAGATAGGCAACTTAGAGGAAAAGATCATCACCATGGTTTACCGGAAGTCAGCACTGCAAAACAGCACCTATCTTTAAAGAATTTTCCAGTATTTGTAGAAATTCAACATTAGATTCCATTGTCAATCTACATTAATCAAGCCTCTACTAATGAATGAACTCATGCTGACACCAATACCCAATAACTATTAAAGCAGTAAAACAGATCCAACACAAAAGCATTTTAATTTCTGCAAGAGCTAGGATCCTTGTATCTAGGAAGCATGATAACTTCAATCAAGTCTGAAATGTGAACTTTTGAATGAAAATGCTGCTGCATTCCATTAAAAGCATTTGTTAACAAATCAGGATTTTTTTTTTTTTTAAAATTTTTGGACAAGTATTTGAACTTCTTTGTGTCTGACTCCATCATTTTTCAAAATCAGGAGGGCTGGAGTTACAATGGGGGTTTGACGATAATGTCCCTTCCTAACTCCTGCCAGTATTTCTCAATGATGTGAATGTTTCTTCTCATGGAGACACAAGGTTCACACAATAGCTCTCCTTTGATGCGTAGCTTCCCTTGAAATAGGAAAACATCGCCTGGACGTGCTCTAATTGTTCATTTTATTTTCCAATCATGTGATAGAAATTATGAATGGGGAAAAAAAAAAAGAAATCCCAAACCATTCTGGACAAGAAAATTAAAGTGACCACATTCAAACTGAAAGCTTCAAGAACTTAACAAAAATAGGCCAAGCATTTCACAAAAAGAGGACCAGCCTTCAATATTATGCTTTCAGTTTTTATCTCTAGTTTCTACTGTGGTTTTCACTTTACAGGATTTGCAAATACCTTACTGCAAAAACAAAAAGAAATTAATTACATAAAACCAGAAGCAACAGCCACAACCACTCTCCAGGAAGCATTTACCTGCATGAAGCGACCCTCTGATGTCCCAAGATTAGCAATTGTGAGGTCTCCTTTAATGAAGGTGGATATGGACGTTAAGAGGACTTGGTTGAATCGGCCCATGAATAAGTCAATGCGGGGCAAAGCTGTGGTAAATTCCGTTCGATATTCATCACTGCGTACTTCACAGCCTGATGAATTTCTCAAAAGTGTCTGGAATAAAATAGGGTCATATCATTAATGTAAGTCCAGGTGCTATCAAGCTGGCATGAAACTTTCCCGTGTGTCTTCTCCAAGCTTGGGGGGCCATGGCAAGAATAATTCTGCTAATAGACATACAGCCCTGGAGAGACAAGAAATATTTACAGTGACCAAAATGGCTCTATTTTCACTAGGTGCTGTTGTGTAAACAGATTCTGAAATTGGGGACAAAACTTATCAAAAGTTACACAGTGGTTCAGTATGTATATACATAAATATAGTATGTAGCTAGTGTTACTAAAAGAAAAAGAAAACTTTAAATGTCTCAATTTAAATGTTTGAATGTTTAAACTGAGACATTTAAATGCTTCTAGAAGATGAAGTCCAATTAAATAAATTTCAACTGGAATAATAAATAATGAAGTCATACTAAAACATGAATTTTATAATGTGTGTCTTTGTGTGTTGTAGGCAGAGAGGTGATGGGAGGGGTGTTTGAGAGTTAATTCCTGGGGAGGGAACAGAGTAGATATGCCTGGTTCAAGTGCTTTTATCAAGCCCTGGTCTTTTATGCTTCCTTACAGTGGCTCTGGTGGTTCAGTGGTAGAACACTCGTCTTCCATGTGGAGGACCCAGGTTTGATTCCCGGACAATGCACCTCATGTACAGTTACCACCATCTGTCAGTGGAGGCTTGAGTGTTGCTGTGAGGCTGAATGGACTTTGGTGCAGCTTCCAGACTAAGATGGACCAGGAAGAAAGGCCTGGCACTCTACTTCTCAAAAACCAGCTATGTGTCACCATTAACTGATTAAGTGGAAGGTGCAGGACCAGTCGGCATTTTGTTCTGTTGTACACGGGGTCACTGTGAGGTGGGAGCTGATGTGATGGCACTTCACAACAATTGGTAGACAGAGTAAGGATGGAATGCCTACATGGCTTCATTTTGCCAACCACTGATACCACCTGAATTACCTTACTCCTTAAAGTCAAAGTTCTGTCACATGGAGTATAAAGTTCCTACTCACATCTAGTGCCTTTTATGATTAAAACTCACCTAAAATGGTCTATCAACTACTTCTTCGTTTTAAATGGTGATAAATTAGCAGTGACTCTTGTAATTAATGTAATGTTTCCGTTCCAGACATTTGATATTTAATGAATTCTATTTTGCTATTTAATTAGAAGCTTTTCTTCACTGAACCACTATAGATTCCTCTGAGGAGTAGCAGATAACTGAGATGTGCCAGCAATTCAATAGGAACCGATTAATCGGTAATTAGGTTTCTACTGATGATCAATCATCCATTTCACAGAGATAGCCAGAACTAAAGGAAGCTGTTTAAAGGGCCAAAGCCCCATTTTATATCGAAGGCCACCTGATGGATCCCTTCGTGGGATCCCTGGCTTTCAGGGCAGGCTCCTGCAGCTGTTCCCCTCTTTCCCTGGCTCGCTCGTAGCTTTCTCTCTAGGTCTAGGTGGCATCCTGGGAACTTTAAAGCCTCAAACTTGAACTGGACTTTGGCATTGGTGGAGGTACAGTAACGGGCTCTGGCAGCATAGGGCTCAAGCACTTGGCTGCCAACCAAAAGGTTGGTGGTTTGAATCCACCAGTTGCTCTGCAGGAGAAAGAAATATGATGACTCACTGAGGTATAAAAACAACTTATTGTGTGTGGAGTTTAGTCTTTGGTTGTAAATTATTAAAAATGAAACAAAACAAACAAACAAAATAACCAACCCAACCAGTTGTAGAGTCAATTACGACTCATGGCAACCTCAAGTGCATCAGAGCAGGCGTGTGCTCCAAAGAGGTTTCCGTGGCTGACCTTTCAGAAGGAGATCACCAGGCCTTTTTTCAGAGGAGTCTCTGTGTGGACTCAGGAGCCAACCTCTCAGTTAGTAGCCAAATGTGTTAACTGTATGTGTCAGCCAGGGGCTCCCATAAATTACCGGTGGTCTTCTATTCACAGAGGACAGGAATTGCTGAATTGTTGTGTTTTATCTTTTATCCCTGGTGCCCTGTGTCATGCCCAGCTTATTGTAGGTAAAAAACAGAAACAAAAACACCCAGCTTGCTGAATAAATGAATGCACTTGCAAAGCAACCAGAGCTAATGCCCACCTACTCAGCTTGCTTTGTGTTCTGCTCTGCTGAAAGGCGGGATGAGCAGGGGAATGGAGGGGAGAGAGTTTTGCCAAGTGTTTCCTCAGAAGTATCTGTACACCTCTGCGGGAGAGGGAGCAAAGCGACCAAAACTTTAGCCTCTCTGTGTCTGTTTCCTCACAAGACAGGCTTTGAATCAGCCAGGATGCTAATAACAGAACCAGTAAGATATAGGGGAGCTCTGGTAGCATAGTGCCTAAGGCACTTGACTGCTAACCAGAAGGCTGGTGGTTCAAACCCACCAGCCACTCCTCGGAAGGAAGGTTGGGCAATCCTACTTCCGTAGTGATACTGCCTCGGAAACCCAAGGAGGGGTCACTATGAGTCGGGGCCGACTTGACGGCAAATAACTACAACAACAAGATATAGATTTTGTTTTAAGAAATTTTAAGATTTAGGCAATGGGCCTGTACAATTGTAGGGGTTGTCAAGTCCAAAAATCTGTAGGACTGGCTGGCAGTATGGAAACTCAGGTAGGATTTCAGTGTGACAGTCTTGAGGTAGAATTCCTTCCTCTCCCAGGAACTTCAGTTTCTTTCTCTTAAGGCATTCAACTGATTAGATGATGCCCACCCACGTCATCAAGAACAAACACCTTTAAGTCAACTGATTCTAGATGTAAACCACATCTGAAAATACTTTCACAGCAACACCTAGATTAGTGTTTGATTAAATAACTGTATGCTATGGGTTGCCATGAATTGGAATAGACTCACAGAAACTTTGTTATTGTTATTTGTAATAGCCCAGTTGACACACAAACCATCACAGGCGTAAATGCAGAACTCTGGGGCAGGGTTAATGGGACGTTCATTCATAGTGAGCTCTTTGAGCTTTATCCTCAGGAATTAGTAAGATATCTAAATGGTACCTCCTCAAGGACTGACAAGGATTAAGTTGTATCTCTGTTGCCCCAAAACAAACTCCCAACAACAAACTCCCAACAATTGCACAATGTTGGAATAGGGTTTATAGAGCTCTTGAGCTTGAAAAACTGTGCAATTCAGGGGCAGAAAACAAACATCATGTGAAGTTCAAGTGGCGTAGTATTCAAATTTCATAAGCCAGGGGACCTCTTTTTCTTTTCATTTTCCCCGTAGCTGAGATCAGCAGGGATAGGGTACTAGCTTCCAGGAAAAAGTAACATTCCAGCATGCACTGCAGGAGATGGGATTATTCCTTGTCTTTTCCTTCTGAGAATCCTGATAAATCAATGGCTGGGGCCAGCGTGGCAGGAATGGAGTCTTGCGTTTTAAGAGTAGAATTTCACTTTTAGGGAGCCATAGTTTAAACTCTGAACAATGCAGGGGTAAACACAGTGCCAAGTCGGTTCCGACTCATAGCGACCCCTCCTTGAGTCTCCAAGGCAGTATCTCTACAGAAGTAGATTGTCCAGTCTTCTTTCTGAGGAGTGGCTGGTGGGTTTGAACTGCGAGCCTTCTGGTTAGCAGTTAAAAGCCTTAGGCACTATGCCTATCTCAGTGTGACTTACTGTTCCTTAAATATAATGAACGAATGTGTTTGATGATTGCTGTCCATTTGTACAGGGAAGATGATGTTGCTTCTTCCCACTGTACACACAATTCTTGAGTGTGCATTTGGGGTAGGAGAGTAACTACAGACCTGCTCCCAGGGGTCTCCTTGTTACCTGTGTGTCCGTCAAAGCCTTCTTGTGTTTCAGAGTAAAATTGAGTGTTGTTAAGTGCTGTTGAGTCAGTTTTTACTCATTGTGATCCTATGTGACAGGATAAGACTGTCCTATAGGGTTTTCTGGCTATAATCTTTACAGGAGCAGACTGCCGGGTCTTTTCTCCTGGTGAGTTGGTAGTGGGTTCGAACTGCTAACCTTTAGCAGCCAAGCACTTAACCACTATGCATCTGGCTTGTTTCATTTACAAATATATCTCAGAAATATTTTCTTGTTAATGTATGAAAAGCTTCTTCATTCTTTTGTGTGCTCATGTTGTTCACCCACTGCCCTAACAGGGCTACTGACACTGAGCAGAGAGGAAGGAAAATGATTATGTCGCAGAGTGCCTGCTCTGGGGAACTACAGAAGGGTCTACAGAGAAGGTTCCACCCGGCACCAGGAGGGAAGCAGACTAACTCTTTCCTATGGTAACAAAGGGAGGAAGAAGGAAGGAAGGGAGGGAGGGAGGGAGGGAGGGGGGAGGAAATAGATCTTTACTCTGCACCTATCATGTGCCGGCACCAAGCTGGCTATTTCCATGTAAAGACTCATAGCTACCCTGGGGGGCTTCACCACACTCAGTTTTAAGGATGAGAAAACTCAGGGCAGCTGAGGGCTTGGCCACAGCCGCCCGTCACACTGGAACTGGCATTAGGATCCAGTTCTCTCAGATTCTCAAGTTCTTGGTTTTCTTTTGCTACTAATCTAGGCAATGTTCAGAGAACTGCACAATTACGAAAATGGAATGAGCCTTTAGGGTCCTCTTACTCTAGTCCCTCATCTTACAGAAGAGAAACTGAGGCTCCAAGAAGTTGTAGCTCTCAGGGAGTTGGAATCATTTAGCAAGTTATCGCTTAATATGTAAACAATTTGCAACTCTGCAAAGTAGGAATGTGCATTCGCTCAGCTCTGATTTCCTTCCCGAGAGAAAGGCCGAGGTTAATCATTATTTTTTGGATAACTGCACAGAGATAACCACCAGCATTCTGGGTGTACTATCAGCTCGACTCTCAAATCTAGTTCTCCTAATTTGCTGTTTGGGCTAACAAATATTATCACGTTTCCAGTCACGTCACTCTGAAATTTCAGTCAGAACCAACTCTTTCTCTAGATTCTCCTACCTCTAAAGGCCACTGAATCCCTCTAGGCCCTGTCAGC